AACTGTGTCTTACCTTCCTCCCAAAGGTACACGAAGCTGTGGCATAGCCACAGCATTGAGGACTGGAAAGGATTATCACTTTTAAAAAGTGGGGGACATTACCCCAAAGTCACCATGACGGGAAGGGGGCAGAATTGTGTCCCCCGAGACAGCAGGTCATCCCGGCCCCACCTGCCAGAGGGGACCGTGTGGTTTGGGTTCCTCGTAGACGACAGAATTTAACGCAAAAATGTCTTTAGAGCTGTTCAGTACAAAGGCTCAGAGAACACTCAGGCACACTCAGGCAAGAGAAACCACATGGACAGCCCACAGACAGACCTTTCCAAGACAGAAGGACAGCCACGAGACGCCGAAAGCAACCTGAAGTTTCAGTAGCGCCGTCACCCACAGAATGAGGGTCAACATTTAGTCAAGAAGAATCACTGTGATTATTGAATTTGAAGATCTGATACCTTCGAAATGAAACATTCCACAAACTCTGCTGAAATAAGAAATACTTTTGATTTTTTTTTTAAATAAATGATTGGTTTTGAAAAAACCAAATGGTCCTGGGCAGACTAAGTTAAAGACAGTTGACAAGCTTAATAAAACCAAATCCAATTTGGGAATTATTTTGAGAAGTTATTAAGTATAGCTCTCCATGTTTTGTTTGTGATGTAAATACACACATATACACTTAGATATGTATGTATACATGTATTTTTTTCCTGTGGAAATGAGGGTTTAAGTCACTCTGTATTTCTTTTTTCCATGAGTCTAATACTGAATCATGAGGATGTAAAGACTCTTAGAATGTTAAGCTAACCCGTTAAAGGGTCAAACTTCAAAAAAAGAAAATGATTGGTTGAAACACACGCACACACAATTTTCTTAAAGTTACGGAAGATCAAGTAGGCACCATTGATAGCTCTGAACTGGGAGGAAAACTGGAGCAACCAGCGCAGGTCTGGACAACCACGGAAAGCCCACAGCAAGGACCACGCCGTGACCAGCCACCAGCGAGTCAGCATGAGAGACTTACCGAGAGCGTCCACTGGCAGGGGGCACACGGTGAGAGAGTGCAGGACACACAATTGACACAAAAAGGAAAATAATAAAGTCAAACTGGTATTCGGGCAGCAGTCTTACCTGCGTTAAAACAGTCCATGGCTTGCCACGGAATTTTACATCAGGGCGATTAAACCCACAGCCACTGAGAGCTGCAACCCAGGTCCCCCCCCGCCTTGCTAAGAGCCTTTACTTCCCATCTAAACAGACATCTTCCTAGTTTGTAATCGTCAGTCCTAGAGAAGGCAACAAGGTTTTTTTCCTTAGAAAGAGAGAGGAAGAATATATTCCTCTAAGAAGTCAATTAAGATGCTTTCACAAGAAAAGCTTTCAGGTGTAATTTACTGTAACTCGGAAAGTCACTGAGGAAGCAGCATCCAAAGTTCAAGCTGGGGTGAAAATGAAAAAAAAAAATTTAAAGAACTTAAAACTTTCACATAACAGTGAATAATATGCTGATATGGGACTCTGGGAGTCTGTTTATTATAAAATCGGCTCTGCAGTCTCTGGTGAAAGATGACACATTCAACTATTTCAATGGTCAGGCTCAAGGGTTAACATATTTAAATGTTCCAGCAGTTTCCTCCCTCAATGTCTCTGATAAAAGTAGTTATAGATGGAAATGGAAGGCTTTACCGTAATTATTTAAGTAAAATTAATAACAATATGAGAATTAATTAAATGAGAAATAAGGCTGCTGACTGCATGATGAGGTGGCAGAAGTGGGCAAATGGCACAAAATGTTTCTCATTTCGGATCCGCTCTTACTTCCGCCAGTTGGGTTACAGCCAACTCTAGGACTTCAAAAGCCAAGAGCTGATGTCAGGTAGCAGGGCCTGACGAGGGTTCAAGAGACGCCACTCAGAGCCTGGGCTTCTGGGGCGGTCCCACGCCACTTTTCCACCCTCCTGCTACCTCTGTCCTGTCGCCCTGACCTGTCAGCAAGACGGACCCTGCCCCATGCGTGGACCCCTGGCCCTCGCCTGCAACTTCTTGAGGGCAGGGACCCTCTCTCCCTCCAGCCCCCAACTCCCACCTAGGTTTACGCCCCATAGGTATTCAAGAAGCCTGCCTTCCACAAAAATAGGTATATTCACCCATGGCTGGAGCAAATGTCAAGTTGTTTTAAAACGATTTTAAGATAAAGTCTAATCAAGCCCCAAAAAACATTAAACACTTTTTGACAGTGATATTTAAATACCTTTAGGCTATAAACTACCATTATCTACAGGATAGTAAAAAAGTGTCAAATACAGAATGTGGCAAAAGGTGATTTAGCTGCAGAGTGAAATTTAAGGTAAAATTAGTAGCAAGCGAAAATCACATCCCATATGTGTCTATGTCAAAGGGAATGCCAAATCCATGGTTAAATGCATAAAGGCATTTAAATGTTGAAAAGAAGAGTCAGAAGAATTTTTAGATCAAAGATCACAGTTTTGCAAAAAGGAATGACATGAAGCTGCTCAACAACTGCCTGAAAACACATTTAAAAGGAAGTGATTATTGGGCTGTATAAACCAAATTTAGTTCTATCAGGACAAAAAAAAAAATGTGTTCAAACCATCCTAACACATGGTGCAAATCTCAGAAGGATCTACCAACACTTTATAAGCCAAGAGTCTAGGAAGCTACCACTTGAAGGAGATAAAAGCGATAGAGAGGCATCTTAGCAAAAAGGAAAACGTCAGCTAACCAGACCCCCAAAAATAACTGAGAGCCTCAAATAACCAGATTTCCTCCAGCCCTTAACTTGCAGTGCTTCTAGTCCATTCTCAGGCCATATATCTTCTAGAAGAGCACTTCATAATAAGAATTCACTCAGAAGGATGACTCTGGTACCTCCTAGGAAGCTCCAGTCACCCCAGAAATACACCAATGTGAGTTTTAAAAGGCACTTACATAATTCAGAAGAAAAAATATTTTTATAAAGGAAATAAATAAAAATAATTTTCCAGTTGTTCCCTGGATCAACTAGAAAATCATCTGGAAAACTCTACACTACTGATCTGATTTGGCTTGTAGACATAAGAACACCGTCATGGCTCTGTTGTCTGAAAAGAACACAGTGCCCAAGACCATCAGCTATAGGACTGGGGTTGACAAGATGGATCAGAAACCCCTGATCACAGCCTCCACTGTCTCAGCCTTCAGGTCCAATCAACTAAAAGCTGATTATTCCCAAGTCCCAGGACCAGCAGCATCTTCTCACGTAATACAGTCCAGCACCCTATGTTTCCTGACTTTTTCCATCTGGCGCCTTGATGGGAAGCTTGTTATCCTCTCTAGACAGCCCAAGCAGTGCTGGGCAAGTCTAATTGCCAGAAACTTCCTTTTATGTTGCATTGCAATCCACCTATCAGGAATTCCCCGCAGGTCCAAATTCCGCTAATTGGACAATGCCAGTGACTTTGAGTGACAGAAAAAGACTGTTTCAGTCTCCAGGCAGAATTCAGATAAAAGGATTATCACTGCAGCCAAGAACTTAAGGCCTCTGAAAAGAAATTCTGGAAGAGAGAAAGTAAAACAGCTACTTTTTCCTTACCTCAACCTTTCCACCAAACTCCCAAATCTTTTTCAAGTCCATAGACTTGGACCCTCTCTGCAAAGCCATTCATCTCTCTTATCTCAAAGCTTGCATGGTGTCAATTAGGTAGAGTTCAGCTCCAAATTTTTAACAACCTGTTCTTCCAAGAAACCTCAGATACAATGGAATAGGGTGACAGTTTTATTTACATTTACCTCTAGACTCACTAAAATGTTCCTGGCCACAAAACCTATTCCACTTGTGGAATACTAGCTCCCAGGTGCCTAAGTTAGAATGGAAATTGCAGAAGCACCAAGAACAAGAAAACACATCCAAAAGGAACAACTGGGGCCAATACCAATTGAAAAACTGATCATGAGTGAAAATCCTGCTGCCTTTATATTGAGATGGTCTCCTGGTTATTATAAGAACCGGGGCGCGGGGGTCGGGGTGGGGAGAGATGACATTTAGCTTGAAAAGTCTGTCCTATCCTCACTCCTCTTCTACCAAAGTGTCCCATCTCTCCCAATGTTTCTTTTAATTCCAAGTGAGAACCACTTGCTTAGGAAAGGGGAACTTTGGTTTTGGAGATGTCTACCTAAAAAAGTTGTCTCAAACAAACGCTAAAGACTACCCACCCACAGAGCATCCTGATGGAGAGGGGGAACCATTTTATCAGCAAATTCAAAATTGTGTATTGCGAAGAGTCTAGAGGGAATGTTACATTCTCAAGTTTAAGAGTCGCTATACCTTGTTAGGTCTTAATAAAATGCTTGCAAAGTGGATGTAGCTAGATTGTTTTCTCTTCAAACTCCCAGTTCAAGCTGGAAGAGCAAAGCTGGGTCGTGGATCTGATAATTAACTGGTCTGTAAATGATGATCGGCTAGGGGGAGGGGTCTTACACCAGCAGTCTCACTTTCCTTACCTGGCTCCCACCCTCAAGAACACTCATGAAAAATCTCCCTATGTAGGCATGATTCCCAGGCTCCCACTGCAGGCTTTTCTAACATATTCACAAGACTTAATAAAGGGTTTTGGAGATTATAGGCTATGAAGGATGGAGGAGAAAATTACATAATTTCTGCAATAATTACTATAGAACATTTGCATAGAGGCTTTTATGTACTATCCCAAGGCTTCCAAGAAATTTATAGGTCTCATCACAACACACGATAGACATGGAAACTGTCAAATTTTGGAGATCAGGCTGGGGGAGGGAACAAGTCAAGTACCACTTTGTATCTCAAATTAACAGATATTCTGCACTTGGGGACTTTGGTCCTGATAGATTCTATTAGCTCCTATCTGTTCACAGGACCATTATATGTAAGGAAGTCTGATTGAAGACTTTCTACTTCAAAGAAAAATCAAGCACGTGTTCATTTTTCCCAAAGCAACATATATTAATGGCAGAATTTGTAGAGTTACCTTTTTTGGCTTTCTTCTGCAGTTTCAGTGTATCTGAGGACTTCTTTTTTATCTCTTGGCGAGCTTTTTTATATTCTAAGAGAGAGAAGAATATTGAACAATCTTACCACTTAGCTCAACAGAAAACATTTTAGTAACAGCCATTACTTTTATTGCTGAAAGCATAAACTCTGACATGCAATAAATAGCTTTATTGGAATACGAAATGGTAAAAAATCTTCTGATGCCATTTCACAGCAAAGGGGTTATGAACACGAAAACTGACAAAATGCACCGGGGTCTTTTCCTTCAGTATTCATTCATACCAGCTCTGAGAAAAGATGGCATTTGGGAAGACTTCAATAAAAATGCTAAAATTCACAATTTCTCAGCATAAGTATCAGGAAATACTTCCAGTATTATCTACTTTCCCAAGGCCCAAATCTACAGGGCTTCACTCCAAGAAGAATCCACGTGGATAGATGCTAGCCAGATGCTACAATTCAAAAATGAGCATCTCAGACTACAGGAGAAACTAGACCACATGGGAGAGAAGTGGGAAAGGCCTGGCTGCCTTACGTTCACATTAATACTGAGGCTGGATGCTGTGGACCCAGAGGAGGGGCAGTCCACACGACCCACATCCCCACCAAATACTTTTCTCTTCCCCCACCAGCTCATGCCCAGCCCGAACTTTCCCATTTCTGTTGCTGGCATCTCTGTCACCCAGGCAGGAATATCTGAAATGACAGTTGGCTCTGATACTTCTCTCCTTTGCTACCCTCATAGTCAATTAATCACCAGTTTGACCAGTTCCCACAAAGCCATCCCAGTCCTTTCCTTCCCTCCCACCCTGAGCCTATCAGAGCTCTTTTTTATATGCTCTTGGCATCTATCAGAGCTCTCTTTTATATGCTCTTGGCATCACTGTTAGTCAACCTTTTCCAGTTTCATCCCTCAAACCCATCCACACGCTTTCCCTCCACCATAATCACTGCAGGCTGTACGATGCTGGGAGCAAGGTCTCCTGACCCTTCCATGCCACCACCACCCCTACCCTTTGGTTCCAGGAAGACTGACGGGGTGATGACTGTCTGGACCACTCAGTCCCCAGAGCTGGCACATGAGGTTCTGAGACCCACCGGTTGAAGATACATACAAAGAGAATGGCCAGTTCTGGGCAGGAGACCGAAGGCTCCTTAAAAGTTTGGTTTTCAAAAATCATTAAAAAGTTTAGTTTTCAAAATGTGCTGAAACACCTGAAGTGTGAGTCTTTAGCATTTAAGCCTGAGGTTACAATCACTTTGAATTCAGCTGATCACAACTGACGCCATGGGATGAGGACGGCATCCCCTGAGAGACGCTGCATGCCCCAAACCCAGCTCTGAGCCCTGCGGTGGGATCACTTCCCATCCCTCACCCTCCAACACTGAGACGCCCACAGGAGCGGCGGCGGGGAGGGGTCCTCCAGGTGACATCAGTGACGCCCGCAGAGGCACTAGCAGCAGCCGGTGACCTGCCATCTGAGACTGACATGTGTTAGCCCCGTACCTTTCGCGTGGTCTTTATCCAGCTGGTTGGCCACTTTCTTCCATTCTTCCATCTGCTCTTGAAGTGGGTTTATCAGACAATCGATTAAAGCACTTGCACAAAAAGACAAAGAGAAGGAGAAATTACACAGATATAATCTGTTGTCAAGGTTTACACTCGGTTGTCAAAACACACCTGAATCACAATTACCTGAAGCAGGACAAGGCAGCACCCTAAGCCCAAGTTCACCTCCAAACCTCCCAATTTCACAATGACTGTGTCCTCAGGACGCTTTTCAATGACTGTTAAGAAGCTGTACATGTGACTGGCTGGTGTGACCCCTTCTCATCGCCTTTTTAAAAAAATTCCAACACTTGTATTCACAATCAAGGTTGCAGACCAAAGGGGTCATGCCCCTTGCTGCACAAGGGAACCAGCTGGAGAACTTTAAAAAAGACACCTGCGCCTCACCTAATACTTGATAGAAACTTGGGGTGGGGCCCCAGAATTACTTTAAAAAAAAAGACCCACGTGATTCTGATGTGCTTTCAGGATAATGAGTTGTGACTGCAGACTGCGGACAGCCTAGAGAGGATCAGAGGGACAAGGGTCTCCCGGACTCCTCCTTATTTTGTGCAGATTTCCAAAAAGATCGCGGTTAGACAAGTGGAAAGACAGCAGCCCATGAAGAGAAATCATGAGTCATGGGACACAGGGTTTTCTGTACAATGGAAGGAAAATCAACCCAAGCCTACATAACAGCAATGTTGTTGAAAATTAGAAAATGCCCATAAATTGTTTGAATGATGGTGGTGAGAACTACGACAAAGGCAGCTCTCAGACTGCTTTTTGATCCTGGGCCTGCTGAAAATCTCCAAGTTCTTGGTACGACCTCCCCGCTTTCTAACCAGGGTCTCCCGGCAGCTCCCACCCTCGCACATCCTCCTCCAGCCTCCCTCCCTCCAGGTCTCCATTCAGCTTGTTCTTCTGAACAGAGATGCTCCCTGCCCAGCCTGTATCCAGCAACCACCACCCACCCCACCCCACGTGTTTCTCCCCCTATCATTCATTACCGCCTGACAGTCTGGCAGGTGTCTATAGCGTCTGCGGCGTAACCCCTGTGAATGCAGAATGTGGTCCTAGTCAGGGCTATGCCCCGTATACCTAAGACGGTGCCTGGCACATAGTAGGTGCTCAATACACGGTGGCTGATGGAACTGGCATCTCTTCATCACTACGATGGGATGAGGGTTACAAGACTGGCCCGAGGGTAAACAAGATGATGGGTGCGGAAGGAGGTGCCATCACGGGGCGTACGCCCCAGGGGCGAGGAGGGGAGGAGGAAGTTCGGTTTCGTCACCAGCTCCAGTGAGTGCTTTCTGCTGTGTGGACACCGTGTACATCTGCACAAGAGCCCTTCAGGGATTCCTACACTCATCTGCCAGGGGCTGAGACCCCAGCCCCATACTGCAGCACACTTGTGGCCAGCCCGAGATTCAAACCCAGGCCCGAGTGACTTCAGGACTAGGTGCTTGCTGCTACATTTGGCAACCTGAGATGGTCCTGCAAGAGGGTCAGAGGGCTTCCGCCTAGGCAGCCTCTCACGCAACGTGCAATTCACAAAGCAGACTCAGCAAGGCTGACGATTACGCTGATCTGTTGGAAGGACGTCCCACTCTCACTGGAACACTGGCGACTCCAAATCCCCATGCCAGCCACTGTCATTTCTACCCATTGTGGACGCACGTGAGACGACAAGGCTGGCAGTGTGGAAGCTTCTGCGAGCCACCACTGCACTCCTAGGTGGGTCTGGAGGATGCACTCAGGACCCAGGTAACAGGATGGCATGCACACCCCACTGTCCAGTACCGCAGCTTCTCCTCCTGGGAGGGCCCTATAGGGACGGGCCCAGAGGTCTCAGTGGGATGCCCGGCTCCCCACACTGATGGAGGGAGGAGAGACACATAGAGAAGACCCCAAGGTGGGGGGTATGGGCTCTGCGAGGCGGGGACCCAGGCCATCCGGTTCTCCACCGTATTCCCAGGGCCCAGACCAGTGCCTGGCACATAGCAGTTGTTAGTCGCTCAGTCGTGTCTGACTCTGTGTGACCCCGTGGACTGTAGCCCGCCAGGCTCCTCTGTCCATGGGATTCTCCAGGCAGGAGAAGGAAATGACAAATAGCAGATGTTTGGGGACTTTCCTGGAGGTCCAGTGGTTAAGAATCTGTCTGCCAATACAGGGAACACAGGTTCAATTCCTGGTCTGGGAAGATCCCACATGCTACAGGGAAACTAAGCCTGTGCCCCACAACTACTAAAGCCTGTGTGCCTAGAGCATGTGCCCTGCAAGAAGAGAACCACCACAACGAGGAACTCGTGCTCAAGAACTGAAGACTAGCCCCCGCTGCCGCAACCTGAGAAAGACCACATGCAGTGACAGAGACCCAGAGACGCCAAAAATAAACAAATTAAAAAAAAAACCGGTTCAGTGAGTGAGCAGCATGACAGGCTGTGATGAGAGACAAGCTGTGGGGATTTCACGTCACCGGGAAACCCGTGCTGTTCAAGGCGAGTGATGCTCCTCGTCAGCGCTTTCTTAACCTGAAATCATCAGGGGTGTCTGAGATCTGGGAGAAACATGGTCCTCACCTGGAGAACTGCCTCAGCTTGGCTTCTATGCTCCGATGCCGCATGCACATCCTGGTCAGGGCAGATCCGATCTCCCTGGTGCCACCTGTAAAAACAACAGAGGCAAACGTGAGGGACAGGAGACAAGTCAAAATCACTGAGATCCTTAAAAGAATGAAAAAATTGAAAAACTAGCCAGATTTCACTGCACTATAACCCAAGCCACTGTCTTTCAGACTTCTCACCAGGCTTGTGCACACAGACATAAATGTGTGTGCTTAGTCATTCAGTCATGTCTGACTCTTTGCTACCCTATGGACTATAGCCTGTCAGGCTCCTCTGTCCATGGGATTTTCCAGGCAAGAATACTGGAGTGAGCAGCCATTCCCTTCTCCAGGGGACCTTCCTGATCCAGGGATCGAACCCGGGTCTCCTGCATCACAGGCAGATTCTTTGTTGTCTGAACCACCAAGATATATATATATGGCTACACATCTTGAAATAATCACCAAAATAAAAGCTACCTTTACTATATGTAATAATAGCCTCTAATATTTTCTATTGTTTTTTATTATACCGACTGTGACACAGAAGTTGATTTTACAACCCACTGGGTCAAAAATACTTCTCAAGGAAGATGCTTAAAATAGCATCTGATATTTAGGGAAAAGCTGTAGTTTTGTTTTGTTTCCCACTTTTGGCAAAATCATCCCCCTAGCACTATTCAGAACAGCCAGTGAAGCTACTGCATAAAGTTACATATTCTAGAATTCAAGTAGTGTAGAGAAGAGCGGGGCTAAAGCAAAATGAAGCAATAGAGAATTTTTTTTTGATGGGTTTGGGTAACACCAGCGTGAAAAGTCCTCAAACTCAGCCAATGTCAAAGTACATTGAAATACGGCTTGGTTTTTCCCAAAATTCTTGTCATACTTTTCCCTTCAGGCACACCCTTTTCTAAGATTATTTTTGAAGTTCCCTTCCTTCCTCCTCTTAGAAACAACATTTATATCAGCATTTACTTGGGCGTGGAGGAGGGGGAGACAAATAGTAACTACAGATGGTAATTCTGCACCAAGCACTGGAAAGCACAATTATAAATGTTATGAAAACACTGGGGCTCATGAAATCAGAAAGAAAAGTGTCCCCAAAAGCACTATCTTTTTAAAAAAATAGACACGATCTTCAAGGGAAAGCCACAGGAATTTATTGCCGGTTTAACCAAGTCAACTTAATAGGGAAAAAATTCCCTCCTTCATTAGTACTCGTGACATTATTTATTATGGGCTGTATTTTCCTCTCTGCCTTCTCTCCTAGAAATGCCAGTGTGCTGCTTCACGTCCACCTATTTTCCATTTTATTCTGCAAAACTATCAGGTTTCCAGGACCAAAAAATAGGAGTAATGGTGATAAATATCTGATATATCTATATTTTATTTTAGCCTGAAAAGAAGCCTCTGCAGCCATTCTTCTAAAACAGGGTTTCTCAGTCTTAACACTATTGATACATGGGCGCAGGTCCTTTCTTTGTTAAAGGGTGGTTCACAGCATTCCTGGCCTCAACCAGCCAAAAGCCTGTAGCGGCCCCCGCCCCCAGTTTGTGACATCCAAAAATGACTCCAGACAGTTCCGGGGGCTCCCTCGGAGCAAATTCTCCCCTAGCTGGCTAAGTACTTCTGGAAAGGAACCTGAGTGAGAATTAAAGGTCATCTGAGGCTGACCTTCTAAATGGCCAGAAAGGTAAACTGCTGCCCTATAGTTCCTGGCATCTCAATTAGAACCAGTGGCAACCGGGCCCTCTACTGCCGCTCGCACCGCTCCACCAGGGAGAACCAGTAGAGGGCGGCGTCATCACACGCTCCACTTGTCTGGGCTCCCTTCAGGTTCCTAGGAGCAAGGACTAGAACACTTGATCCCCAGAAGAAATCTCTCCTATTTTTCCAGGGCCTTCATTTGATTAAAAGTTAATGACCTGGCGACGCAGGGAAACTGGCGCACTCACTCACAGCTGGTAAGAGTGTCAACTAGTACTTTTCTGGAGGAAAATCTGGCAGCGTTTATCAAGACACGTCTTACAAAAACAAGCTCCCATTTTGACCCAGCAATTCTACTCGGAAAAATTTTATTGGAGGACGCAAGAGTGAAAGCGAATCCTTACCTATGAGGATAGTCATTGAAATGTTGTTTACCATAGTAAAAACAAGAAACAACACCTTGTTCTAGGGAGCGGGCTGAATAAAACCCTAGGATGCAGTCACATGACGGAGAAAGCACGCAGTCAGCCAAAGCGCTGGAGAGATGCTTCAGGTCCCAGGAAGGAGGTCGTTTCTTAGAGCCGAGGAAGTGCTGGGCCCCACGGTGACTGCTTTGCACATGTGAACTCACCAAGTCAGCTCACCTGGTATGCTGCTGTTCCTATCACCCCCACCTCACAGACAAGGAAAGCACCTCTGGTAATCTGAGCAAGGTCACGCTGCTAGTAAGGGGGATTCCAACCCAGGCCAAACCTCCAAGTCTGTGCATTTATCCATTCAGCACATGGCACTTACTACAGACAAGGGAGATGGGAAGCAGAGCTAAGAGCCCAGAACACCCTGCTAAGCTAACTTATCTACACTCTTACGGGTATCAGGGCTTCACGGTCCAGCTCCGTTATTTCGGTTCCCGAGCCTAGAACTGTCCACAATGGATACCACGGGGACTAAGCTCTGGTCCTCGCTAAGCTGCTTCACACGTGACCGAGAGCTGTGTCACTGATTACCCACGCCTCAGTTTCCTCAAAACAGAATGCCATGGTTGGAAAGGATCACCTCGAAGCCTGGCTCCCGAACTCCATTCCTTTGGTCCTGGATTTCTGTTAGCTTCCCAGATACTTTCACAGATTGCCACTGGACATTTATCATCCCCGGGAAAGCCCAAGGCTTCCCGGAAACAACTGAACTGCGGTGTGCTAACAAGCGGTCCTTCACAGGCTGTGTGCACCCCTCCACTCTGCTCCGCAGCAGGGGTCCCCAATCCTTTTGGGCGCCAGGGACTGGTTTCATGCAAGACAATTTTCCACAGACCAAGGGCGGGGTGGGGGGGTGGTGGTGGTTTGGGGATCATTCAAGTGCATGACACTTACTGTACACTTTATTTCTAGTATTATTACGTCAGCTCCACCTCAGATCACCAGGCATTAGATCTCAGAGGCTGGGGACCCCCCTGCTCTGTGGCACCCAGGCTTCCTGTGAGAGGAGGAAATGAAGAACTGCAGAGAAAAGTCCCAAAGAGCAGCCTCTCTGTCCAAGGGGCAGGAGGGCAGGAGACAGGCAGCTAACCTCCTCCGTGGATGCCAGGACCCAACGGTCAGAATGACTGCGGATCTCAGCCACTCGGGGCCCTAAAAATAGCTCTATCTGTGGATGTGCTTAACAATGTCTTCTGCTCTTCCTGACCCTTGCTAAAACTTAAAAACAAAAAAAATCAGCAGGTTTGAAAAGCTTCAGAGGAAACTGGCTCTAGTTACAAAGCCAGAACAGACATCTGGACGAGCTCCGAGCTGACAGTGAGAATATTTATGGAATCAAATGACTGAGACGGTCTCGGCAGCTTGGGAGTGAGGACAAGATCTTACTTGTTTCTGCTTTCCCGGCACCCAGCACTGGGGCTGAACGAAGGAACCAACACGGACCGTTTTGGAGGGCAAAATGGTAGCATTTTTGGCTAGGTAGAGACAGGATGAGGGAATGGGTTTGCCTTTTGTTGAATGCATAAATATTTGGGTATCTTCTCTGTGCATACAATAGAAGATTCAAAATCAATACAAGATTCTTATTATGTTATCAAAGGTCTATACTGATTCAAGGTCAGCCTGGAGAAACAATGGTGTATTCGCTTTGGCTTTTTCTTTTTAACTGGAGTATAGTTGAGCTACAACGTTGTGTTATTTTCTGGTGCACAGCAAAGTGATTCAGCTATGTATATACCTGTATTCTTTTTCAGATTTTTTTCAATTACAGTTTATTACAAGATAGTGAATGCAGTTCCCTGTGTGACACAGTAGGATTTTGTTTATCTGGTTTTTATTGCTTCTGTAATAAATTACCACATATTTAGTGGCTTAAAGCAGTACCCATTTATTATCTTACAGTTCTGGAAGTCAGAAGTCCAAAATCAATTTCTCCAGGTTAAAATCAAGGTGGTGGGACAGCTTCATTCCTCTGTAGGCCCTAGGGGAGAATCCTTTTCCTTGCCTCTTCCAGCTCCCACAGGCTGCCTGCACTCCCTGGCTCGTGGCACCTCCCTCCACCTTCAAGTCAGTAGTAGCACCTTCACTCTTCTGTGACCTCCACTTCCATCCTCACATCTTCTCTGACTCTGATCTTCCTTCTTCCTCCTTAGAGCTTTGTGCTGTACTGGACCCACCTTAATAACCCAAGATAATCTCCCCATCCCAAGATCCTTAGCTGAATGATAAGTGGAAAGCCCCTGCTGTGATGTACAGTAACATATTCACAGGTTCTGGGGTTGAAGGCATGGATGTCTTTTGTTGGGGGGGGCATTATTCTGGCTACTAAAGATGAGTAGGAGTTGTTAATTTGGAGAATGTATGGGGCGCTGGGGTCCTCTGTCAGATGATTAACTGAGACATGATCTAACTCCATCCGCTCTGGCAGTTCAGGGACGAGCGAGACAAGAGACTGAGACGCTGCTGGGGAAGCCTTTGAGGAAAATACCCTTGATCTTAAGATCAACACACACAAGAGACCCCACAGGGTGAGAACAGGAAGCAGGCTGCCCAGCTGCTGTGGTTCACCGTCTTTACAGCAGTGGAGACTCCTGCCTTAGGAGAAGGCACATTCTGCGGACGGAACGGAGAAGGAGCCCCAGTCTCCGGGTGAGCTCACAAAGCTGCCAAATTAACACGCTGCGAGCCTGCTCTCCTGAACCTGGGGCTCCAGTTCTGCAAAGACACACATTTCCTTATTTTTAAAGCCACTTTGATTTGGTTCTGTTTCTCCCAGTTCAAAGAAGAGGGAAGGGAGCAACAGCCTTGTGCGTCCTCCCTGCACTGGGAACCACCCTGTGGCCAGAAGGAACAGTAAGTCCGTCACTCACTGCTGAGGG